CCCCTCCCCCCTTTACCCCTCTGGCGCCCCTCCCCCTTCCCCCTTTACCCCTCTGGCGCCCTCCCCCATCCCCCTTTATCCCGCTTGCGCCCCGGGCGATCGTCCGCTTCGCCCGCTCCTAGAAACGGCCCTGTTCCTCATATTTGCAAGTAAGACGACTTCCTGGTTGCATATCTTATCTCTGGGACGAAAGAAAGTGGTACGTTGGAGGAACTTTCCGAAGAACTCTCTTCGTACACTCACCCAATTGCCTACTTTTGAAGACGTATTTACACAAATCCATTGTGAACCACATCTTATGACTAGTAAACAATGGATAGCATAAAAATTCTTCAGAACTGGGGGCAGCTTGAGCCTGATCGCCAGGTGATGAGGAGGGGGGGAGGAGGAGTGAGGGGGGGAGGAGGGGGGAAGTGGATCAATCTAACATCCCGGGAAAAGAGAACCGCCTCCATCGAACCCGTTGTTAGCGTGATATCTCCCCGAAATTTGGGGGGAAAAGGCAAAACCCATTGACGGCAAAATTTCCATCTCAGAAACGATTCATTGCATGTAGGCAAAGAATAGCTTCAACCGGAGGTCTTTAATGGCTGAACAATTCGCTCCATACATCGTTGCGGTTTGCATGAGATTTCAGCATCACTGTTGAGTTTGAAAATGTAAACTTTTAGGTGATTTTCACCCCAAAAGCATCCGCTAAAAACTTAGAGATTCTAAAAATTAACTTTTTTCTTCAAGTAGCTGAATATTGTTGCGTGATGAATCGCTAGTAGTTTTTTAAAGAAAGTTTTTAGAGCTTTATGCGATGATTTTGGCTCAACTTGTCGGTATGCTGATTTTCTTTGCATTATACGTTTCGCTCACTAATTGTTAGGGACGTTGAGGTTAAGCGACATTATGACTCTTATGATAATGAATTCACTTGCATGTAACTGCGATTTACTCAAAACACCGTATAGAGCTCTGAAAAACCTTTCCAGCGACATATCATACGACCATATTCAGCCACTTGAAGAAAATGGAAATTATTGGAATATGCAAGTTTTGACAAGTTAATTTTTTTAATGAAAATGGCCCAGAAAATCATATATCGTTGGAAAGATCTCAAGCTCCTCTTTCTAATGACACCATTCTTGATATCATAGGCGCTCCGTCACATTGAAAAATATCCAACCGAATCTGACCAAAAATCAGATTTCCAATTTTGAGGCGAAATTTTCTCAGTGTAGCCGACGAAAATTCAAAAAAGTAACTTGCTTTATCGATGCACCTCAAAATGGAGTTAAATAAACCGTAACGAGAGATTTGTCCTTCCCCTCGCCACCTAGGATGTTTCTGGGGTGAAAATAGCCTAAATTTCACATTTTCAAACTCAACTGTGATGCTAAAATCTCATTCAAACTCCAATGATGCATGGAACGAATTGTTCGCCTATTTAAGACCTCCGGTTGAAGCTATGCACGCCCTGGCATGATGAAAGGTTTCTAGGATGGAAATTTAGCCGTCCACGGGGGTTTTCCGTTTTCCTCCAAAGTTCAGGGGTTCTCGCTGACCGCAGATTCGATGAAGTCGATTACCGTTTTCCTGGGATGTTGGATCGAATGCAATCGCTTAGAATTTTTATCCCTAAACCCGAGATGGTCGAGCGCACTGCTTGGTTGAGTTCGTATGGAATGACCTTGATGAAGGTCGTCTGTGCATTTGTATAGGAAAAATATGAATATTACAGGAATTAATTTAGAGTTCTTATTGCAGTCTGAGTTAAAATGGGGGGAAAATGCATTTTACCCATGAGAATTTCGAAGGGAAACGCCGTAACTTCGAGTTATCGAGAGTTGACTGTACTTAGCCACAGAAAGCGGAACGGGCAACATATAAGGGGAATGAGGAGGAGGGGAAATTAACTTTTTAATACTCTACTAATATCGAATGATATTGGTAGCTCTGAAGCTTGGCGATGTAGAAATTAAATGTCTCCCGGAGTCATGCCCCCCCTCCCCTCGAGTTTGCAACTCCCCCGGAGTTATTTTTATTTATTAATATATCTATTTTTATAATGTTATCTATCTTAAGTAGATGATGCAATGATATATAGCCATGACTGACTTTTGATAGGCTGTCCTAGAGCCTTTCTAGAGTAGAGATCATTTTATCCTATTCCCCATTTAGAACCATTTTGTCCTTTGACCATATTTTCGGGACCAAAACGTCCGGGACCGTATTTTCCTCGATTCCTGGAAGTAGGCAGCAAAAACGTAACCAATGTTTCGTGCGAATGCAAGAGGAATATAAATTGATGTGACAAGAAAGGCAAACGCGTCAGTCTCTGTATGACAAGGAAAAGTCATAAACCTTGAGCGATGGGTTTTCCGTTCTTCACCGAAGAGAGGAGAATTTCCATAATTTACAGGGAGACATCTGCTGACTAACGCACCGAGTCATCGCATTCAGAAGCGTCGCGTCTGTGTGCTGCAAGTCACAAGGCCTATTTTCGTGTCACACATTCAGTTGGCCAGTTCCCATCCAGCAATGCCAATACGATGCCGATCTCATTTCTAAAGTCATTTCACTCCTAAATGACTAATGAGAAAACTTTCCATGTTCTGGAAAAAAATTGGGTCAGCCTCCTACGGAAAAAGGAAAGACTCCGCTTCGACTCGTGTGTTTCTCACGGAGACCTGTGATCGGCGGAGACATTCCATTAAAGGAAACCAGTAATAAAAACTCATTATAACGGGGTGATTTGGTTAATCCCAGAAGGTGAAGGCGTTCGAGAGAAAAGAAGCAAAATGGTGTACCGTATAGTTTCGTCTCGTCGACATTCAGAGACAGTATCTCAGCACTCGAGTCAAACCATCAATGCATTCATGGTTCGACTCGAGTCAAGAAAAATTTCGCGATTTGATGCCACATCGCTCCTGCCACTAATTGATACGCAAGAGTATGCTGAGATGGCAGAGACATCATCTCCCTATTGAATACCACTGGATGGGTTCGCGATTCCAGTCGCCAAGGGCGTAGGGCGCCGTCAGTGCGTTCGAGATTTCGACCTTATCACAAGCCAATATGAGATTGGCAAAAGTAGCGTCATCAAACCAGCAGACTTGGATCGCGAACGCATTCACTCAAACTGGTTTTCAGCGATTTTTGGCTTAGAAGCAGAAATGTAAAGAATGCAGACAGGACAGGACTCCGACATGTGATCAATGGTGTTTCATTGCTCAAACTGACCCTCACATTCCACATGCCTATTACCCTTCTATTATAGCTGTGTGTGAACGACTCATCAGGGGCACCGCATACAGTGATTTCTGAATCACTTTCAAGTTTGAGTGTTTTTTTTTTGCGTTAGATGGATCTCTCATAACTGAAGATTCATCATTAGAGGTATGGGAGAGAGGTCCCTCATGTAGGAAAATTCTCCCACACTATTCAATAATATCTAATTGAAATTCTCATTAGAGTTTATCGAAAAACTGTGTTACCTGAAACATTAAAAAAGACATTTCGGGGCCAGAGGAAGCTGTCAAGCGACAAATCTTACGGAACGCCTCGCGCATACTTAATGAGATTCTTTTCTCTTTGAGGTGCCAACATACAAGGATATTCAAAGACAACAATATTCCACTACATCGGTGCCATGCCTACCTAGAATGACTCATCTGCACGGAATGAGAGCTACAAAAGATAAAGATATGCTGACCGATCAGCTCAAGCTCTTCACCTGATTTCAGTCTTTACTTTCCAAGGATGGAATCTCACGATGTTCAAAGACGAGTAGAATATTTTTCGTGAGTGACCACGGAGAGATCTGGGTCAGGAGGCCGTCTGGAACGCTATCACCCCAGCTACATTCCAACTGTTGAAGAGAAGGAATCAAGGTTCAGTGTCCGTTTCTGGGTCTGGATTCTCCGCTGCTAGATCGGGCGAGTCGCGCCCGTTCCGAGGCGTGCTGGGTGTTCCTATATGGGAAGAAACGCTCGAGGATGTCATAAATGCCTCGTGTTTTGTCATCGGTCCTCACTCACGTGGAGGACAGTGCTCCAGCGAATCCAGGCAGCAATGGACCCGATTTCACGTACTTTCATCACGTCCAATAGGAGACTCGAATCCGGTAGAGAATCTGTGGGAATGCACGGTAAAATGGATGGCTCGGCCATCGATACTCCACATCAACTCTGGAATGCGGAGTTCATGTTAAGAAGAGTTGCGGCGGATTCACCACTTGCCTCATTCCATCCATACCCAAGGACTTGCAAGTGTGTTGGCTAGAGACTGACTACCCGTAGGAAGCCAACACGAACATTTATGAGTTCTGAGGTGGCTTTCTATAGCCTATTCACGTTCGATTAAAAACGCTTTATTGAGGACGGAAAGCCATTCATCACGAAATCCGGCTCCATCAATGTATTCCATTAGGAGAATGAACTAACGTTATCCATAGAGCTGCAAGTGGTGTTTTCTACAGGAAATTTAGAAAGTTTAATTGTCGATGGGAGAAAGGTGTTTTACGAATAGGCACGACACTTCCTAATCCAAGTGGACTTTAGAATACGAGAAAATACTTGAGTAAGAAGACAAGAAAACCAGTCTCGCTTTTCCCAGCAAAAGCTGTCTTTCTTTTTCTATCCTGTTCCATATAGCAGGAAAATTCAAATTTATAATGTACTTAGTTGCAACAAAAACAAAAAAAAGTTCCTGCATGGGGTCGCATCTTTCCCATCCATTTATGGGGATATGAAGAGCGCTACGCAACGTTCACTCTCGCATCGTCTAAGCTGGCTCTGCTACAAAATCGGACAGCTTGCGTTCGACGCCACGGATTAGACGCTGAAAGATTGACTCATACGTACGCGACTGAAGGATAGAAAAAGAGCCGAGGCTGACAATGTGCTTCGTGTGGCTGCGGTTATGAGAGGAAAGGAGAGGGTGGGGTCTGGCATCACTTGATGGCTTCTTCAGATGGAATTCATCCTCGTCCTTTTCGTACAGGGTCGGGGATGGAAGTGGAAGGAAGGGGGATCGGTACAGCCTGGTATTACGCGTCGGGCCCTCTCCAGGTGGAGTTCGTCCTCGTCCTTCTCCTCGTCATCGATATCTTGGTGATCGTCGTCAGCCTCATCATTGCGACTACTTCATTCCTTTACGCCGCCAACAAATTTCTTCTCCCTGTCGCCTTCCTCGGCAGGAGTCTCTTCGGGTACGGAGTTCGACAAAAAATCATCTCCATGCTTAGTATCTAAGAAATGGCTTCTGGAGTTTGGCGGCACTAATTTTTTCCCTATATTCAGGAACGAGAACCCACTGGCTGATCTGATGAATCCTAATTTCTGGGTGCATGATGATGTGAATGGCTTTGTTCACCAGGTATTCGATTATTTCCGATCTTAAAAGGATTGAAAATAAAATAGATCCTGGTTTACAACAGAACTCGGGTGTATTTCCCGGAGGAGATGGACCTTGTCCCATCAATTAAATAACACCAGACAAGATATGGGGATAAGAGTGACGGATCACGTGGCGAAGGGGCCTGTTGGATGCACCTACTGGCCATGCAGTACGATCGCGCTGCATTTCATGTAATGGGATGATTACCAGAATTTCCCTTTTTTCTACAGCTTTGCTATGTCTTCTCCATCCAGTGGGCATCATCCATCACGTCCGCCACTTGATTGCAATCGGTTTAGCACTTCATGGAAGTTCTCCAATCTAAAGCAGGATCAAAATTACGAGAAGGTTGTAGCAATTTTTTTCCCCTGTAGTTTTCTTTGCTCGTATTTACTTGAATAGATAAAAAAAAGAGTGCAACATCGGAAATGCTACCAGAGGGATTTCCTTGACCCTCGTGCACGATAGGCATACCTTTGCAAGAGGTGGAGATTGTCGAAGCTTTGAAGAGATCGGCCGGTGGCCGAGGGAGCAACGGTCCAAGAGGCAGAGAGAAAAGCCAAAAAGGAGACGACGGTCGCAATGGCCACCACGATCCCCGTCAAGACGATCCCGAAGATTCCAAGTAAGACCGGCTCGGCGAATTGACGGGAGCTAACCTCCGCGATTCCATTCCCTTCAAATCGAAGACGGTGATAAAGGTCACGAAATGCGGGATCAGGCTCAAATCGGGGAGAAGTTCAAAGTTCTTACTCAACAAGTCGGTCGCCTCCATGACTGGGACATTCGATCAGAGATCTATATCTTCAAGCTGTATGCATGCTCTTTTTTCATGATCTGAGTCAACCTGAACGTATAGGTGAAATGGGGTTAAAGCATGAGTTTTGAAAGGGAAAATGATGGGAAAGGACAGATTACTGTCATCCGTTAGAACTCCGATATCGATCCGGAACAGGGAAAGGAGATCACCCGGTTGAAATGGGTAAATCACACAGGAGCAACTACTCGTGATTTCCGTGTCATCTTCATGATTCAATAATATAAAGCTAATCCACTGGAAGAAGGTTAAGCCAAAAAATTTCCCTGGTAATCAACTTCGAACCGGTCTCGCGAGTCTTCTCATAAAGTTCGTACCCTCAGGCTAAAACTAAGTTGCGGGTGGACACACCAAGTTCATAGAGTTCACTCACACGTAAGACGCGCCCTTTTCTCTGGAACTACAAACACGGAATACGAATGTAACCCTAGAGTGTTGAAGGGTACGTGAGGAGGATCACGTTTGCACCTGGAATGACGAGAGTAAAGCCAATAGAGAGTCCCGTTGGGATGAGAATGGCGTGACAAATGACTGTCAAAGGTCATCCACCCATTTCTCATCCTCGTTTTTTCTCGTCTAGACAGCCTACATCCAAAGATAAAAAAGAAAGAGTTTTTTTTTTTCCTGTTAGGGACAACTTCGGAATTGGAATATCTGAGGAGAGGTCAGGGAATCATGTCATCCATTGTGATGAAAGAATTCCATCCATCAATTGAAAGAGTAAGAGGAAACGCATATTCCGAGTGACCTCCGCGGACCACCGGGAACACTGACCCACTTTTTGCAGGACAGAACTTCCTTTTACATAGACAAGACGACACACGGGAGAATCTTTGGGAAGTGGGGGGGAAGGGAGGGGTGCGGTAATTTTCTCCTCTGGGGTATTAAAGACGAATGGAGAAAATCGCTGGGAAAATAAAGACCGGGGGGGAGGGGGAGATGGGAAGGAAAAAAAGAAAGAACCGGAATGAACCGCATTTACCCATAGGCTATGCCGTAAAAATACTTGGCGGCAATCCTGCACCGTAACGCAAATATTAGAGGACAACCAGAAACTCCCTTTATGTGTACCGATCTATCTCCCTTGCCTCCCTTGCACGGGAGATGGCTATAGAGGTGAAGGTGAGATGAGACGAGAAAGGAAAACGACCTGATTCCACCGACGAAAAGAGAGATTCTCACAGGACCTGGTAATTGGAGTGAATCGCGCTTGTCTCTATCTCTTTCTCGCGTCCTCCATTCTCCTCAACGTGGACGAAAGCCCGAGCAGAGAGAAACGACAAAGAAAATTGAATACATCTCCGCGCGTTTTTCACTTATTCTTCGCGTACATCATGTAAAGCCCTGCTCGAATACGTAAGAGTCTGATGCTGTCGCAAGGCCCTCGTTCGACACTAGGCTTATCCCTCTAAGCCGCTTTCCATCCGACATGCTGGATAACGGGCGCAACATAAATAATATCAACATTATGCTATCACAAACGGTGTCCGGCAGGCTGGACGGAATGCGTCATATGGCTAAAGGTGAAAAGCAGAGAATCACCGACGAGGGAGGCGCTCACTCGTCGCAAAACGAATCCCGGCAGGTTCGAATGGGGAAGCGGGAAGCACCACGCGCGAAGGACGAAAACATTGTATTTCGGCACCACGGAAGGAAGATCCATGCACAGGATGAAGATGTAGATGGGAGGAAAAACCGGAATGTGAATTATTTCTCGGCTTGCATGCGAGTGACTGGCAAGTAGGCCACACGACCGAGCAGTGCTAGGCGTGGGCTACCCGCGCCTTTCCTTTTTTCAAACACGCGCTCGTATCCGCATCCACGTCCACCTATCTCGGGGAGGGGATTGGGGGTCAGTTCCTCCTTCCTCCTCACTCTTTCTCCCTCTCCGGCCCGTCGTCGACCGCCGTTTCGACGAATACCACCACCGTCGGCACGTGTCACCGGTAGAAAAGCGAGCGAGGGACCGTCTCTGGACTGGAACGCGGAGAAATAAGGGAAGACAAAAGGCAGATGACGGAAGGGCACTTCGTTCCGGCCCATCGCCTCCATGACAAGTGACTCGGAAGAGAGACGAAGGAAGCCGAGGGTATTGCTCGAGTCCGATTCCAACTGTCTTTTCTGCCGCCGATCGCATCTACCCGTGGTTGAATTTCCTTAATTTCAATAAGAACTAGAAATCATGGAACTCGTGCGGTGAATCGAGAATAGGGATGCGAACCACAAGATCGGGGGTGCGAACTTCAGACTGCGTGAACATGGAATGGGAAGATAACGAGTTCCTGATCCTCTAGATTAGTGCGTGTGCTTTTCTTTTCTTCAAAGATAGCATGCCAGTAGTATTCTACTTCGATGAGAATCGTAAAGAATACGCATCTCTACAAAAACGCCCTAGATTCGCGAGATTTGGGGTCCGTCAGGGCATCGATTCCATAAGCTCCAACGCGAATAGTGGAGACTTCAACTTAGATACTGAGACGTAATTTAGCTTTCTTGTCAAAGTCAGTTTAGTTCAGTGATTGAGCAATAAGATTATAATCACTTTCTTCGGAACAGCTATAAACGCCGGGGCGTTAATAGCTATAAACTCTGAACGATCAGATGTCTTGACTGGGCAGCCAAGTCCGAGATGAAATCATCTCGAATGGTCTTTGCAGAACGAACAGATTGCTCGACGTCAGATGGACACGTGGAGTATTCCTTCTGCAATCTTTTGCTTGCAACAATGAAGCAGCCGGAACGGATTAAAGTGAGCCACTGACATTTTAATTGTTTTCCCCCCATTTCGGAGTTTCGAAATTTCGCCTCAGGTCTTCGAGAACAGATTGAATTAATGACCGAGAGGTTTTTACCAAACGTGTCTCAGATACGTTGCGCAAAGTTTTCCCAGTGGGAAACTCGGACCCCCCCCCCCCCCCCCCCAGCAGCCACATCATGCTTTTCACAGGGGCACGAGAGGAAGTCTAACGATGAAAGCCCAGTAACTTCCAATCGGTCGAACAGCACACTCGAACCAGTGATGTCGCAAATTCTGACTTGGGTAGGTTAAGCAGTCTGAAAAAAGGATCCAGTACTCGTATATTAAGGCACCGAAATCACAGAAATAACGACGAGAGGGTGACAAGAAACTTAATCTTGCAACAGACCCTCTAAAATAAAAGGTAGAATCCTATATTTTGGGAGTTGGCACAGCATATACTCAGTGTTCCTCTTAGTTCGTGCAATGTTTGTGGCCTCAAGGGGAAGAGGGACGCTTGCTCCACGAGGAACCAAACGGTTTTAGAGGAATCGATTTGCTGAAAAAAGGTAATGAAACAACTGCTCCCCCATGATCGGACCCTCTTCCTCATCATCCCGTAAGCCAGTAATGCACAATCTGCGGCCCGCAGAGACCTTATTTGAGGGCCCCTTGGATACCTCCGGTCTCTAAAGATCCATATTTAAATGCGGCCTATTTCGACCATAAAACCCCTCGAACATGAGTCGAAGTCTCAATTTGGCCTTCTAGGGGGAAAAGGTTGTGCACCACTGCCGTAAGCAGATCAACATATACGTTACTAGCGGAAGCTTTCATTTGGGTATGCGTCGACTTGTATTTTACGAGTATACCTCCCAATACAGACCCCGACTCGAACATTTAGGAGTTTCTTAAACCAGCTCTGAGAGTCCATAAAAGGAAGTTAATTTATTCCTAGGAATTTTAAAAACTAATTTATAATCTGTCCTGCACGGACGGATTAGAATTTTAAATTTGATTTTTCACAAAACACGAACTTTTCCAATAAGAAAATGAGAATTGCACCTCACCGAGGCGAGAAAAAGCAATGGGTTCCTTGCCGACATGGAGCAAGGAGTCCAGCGCAAGGCATGGTCATCCCTCTTTCGCCGGACCCGCTGCCCATCCCCACGCTTATTGTCTGCGGGCATCCTCCTCCTGGCCCTTGCTTTCGTCATATTCGCCTGCATCACCTATGACGTATGACGATGCACTCAACTGAGGCCCGCCGCTTTTATGGGCTCGGCCCACTTCTGTAACCTTCTCTTCTTCTGCTCCATCGTTGCGTGAAAAAAAGAACGTGTTGCGAGCTAAGTTACCTAGGTCCAAACCATCCTTTCTGCAACGAGAATCAAACCCCTCTGAAAGTGTTCAAAACATTTTGAACCCTTTGACATCGTTTCTCACCCATACGGAGAATTTTCATACCCTGGGATAGCTTAGGCCTGTTAGGTAACGGTCGACAGAACCAAGTGGGCCATGATTTCTGTAAAATCCCAATTGGAATCCATCTTCAGGTTATCCTGCGTCGAATAATCTCATTAGGGGTTGGAGGAATGCCAGGGCAATTTACTAGGCTGAAAGATCCAGCCAGTTGGATTCCGCAGAAAATGACAATTCAAGCCGTTAGCAGTAGTTTTGCCAAGAACTGTGTTGTGAAGGGCATACTAACTTGAAGAGATTGATGAACTCGAAACATCCAAATTCTGAGAGCGGCGACTAACCTTGACAGCATGCAGGGCCGGCGCGAGTACCCCTGCGTCCCCTGCGGCCGCAGGGGGCCCCAGCCCCAAGAGGAAGAAATAAATAATACTAGTAATAAGATAGGAAGAACGAAAGAAACGAGAAAAAACTTTGAAACGCTGCGAGTTATTCCGAAAGAGATCCAAGCTCTGAATGAGACGAAGAATACTCCTCGGTCTTCCTACTCTGGACAGGCGAGAAGGCCGAGCTGGGCGAAATCCGTCACCGTCCCAAAGCATGAAAAGTATTTTTATTTATTTATTTTAATTCCTCCATAATTTCCGCATGAAATCCTCGCGCTTGGAGGCACTTGAGGTGAGAAAGGCGTCCGAGTAGAAAGGTCTACCTCGTTTTCATCCCCTTGTCTCCCTTGATCACGTTGTCACATTTGAATTTAACAAAATATGGACATATGAAAATGTGCACAAATATTCGAAGCATACTTGTGCATGCAGCTATGCCACAGATACCCAGAGCCATCTTAAGCCAAGCCGACAATTGATACTAAGAGAGTGTGGCCTACGGCTTTTGACTTATGGAAAAGAGCCGTTTTAGCTGTAATTAAGCTTTATTAATTAAAAAAATCTCAAGTTCATAATATGGACAAAACAAAGTCCATATTAAGACCAGTTTGCAGTATCTGAAATATGTACCATCGATCCTAATTATGAAAGGGTGGCAACCCTAATCATCGATGGTACCCGTGCAAAGCTTAGGCACATTTTGCCAAGGTTAGCCTCAATAGCTGAACGACTTCGTCGATGAGCTTCGCAGTCTGGTACACTTCTACCAGAGCCACCTGATGCTCTTGGAACTCCGCGATTCATTCGCAAGAGTAGTCAGGCCCGTGTATCCCAACGTGTCCATCGCTCTTGGAGTGCTACTCACGGCTCCAGTGAGAGTTGCATCTGCAGAAAGAAGCCTCTCCAAACCGAAACAGTTTATAACTTATCTAAGATGAAGCGTGCCGCAAGAACGCCTGACAGGACTAGCTATACTCTCTATCGAGAGGGAGGTCGGCAGGTCATTGAATTACAAGAAAGTGATCGATGAGCTGGTGGCAAAGGTTCCGAGGATACGAACGCTAAATCTTTGGACAACCTACACAGATTCCTCTCCTTTCTTTGCTTAATGAAAATGTAGTGATTTTCATTTTTTTCCTGATGTAACTTCGATAATCGAAAATGAAATAAGAGCCAAATCACCAAATCTCCGGAACCCAGAGGTGGCCCAATGTATTTGCCGCAGGGGGCTCCGCATTTTCCCGCGCTGGGCCTGACAGCATGTGATAAACGAAAAAAGTCGCATGCAAGTAGAACAATTTTGGCCTCCCCCCCCCTTCCCCCGTCCTATGGGATCTTTTGCATCGTTGACTAATGAAGCCTCTCGTAGTCATGCACTTCTGGCTTCCACGCAGGTCATCGATTGCTCCATACGAATTATCGGTGCCTCAAGCAGTGGCCTGACCATGACTTTGACCAGGTGGGGCAGCCCCTCCCCGATGGCGACTATCTGCCCCGCTCGTCTCAGAACGCCACAGCATCCACGACAACCTTCTTGGGGGGAGTACAAGGGTAAACGTTTATGAGGGGGCATCCTGAGAGAAGAGCTGAAGTGAAGTGGGATGGAGATGGCGAGCCTTGCTATCGGTCAGCAAGCCACTGCCTTTCATCTACAGTATATGCGCCCACGCCACGTTCTCGTTAAATACTCCCTGCCGTGCCATCTGCTTACAAATATCCTGAAATTTACAATAATCTTAGGAAAGGTTTGTTTCTTTTACACAGTCTCAGGGCACTTGGACCATTCATGATAATGAAGTAGCGACGAAAGCTTTCAATGAAATCGGCCAAGTGCGTTTTCGCGTCCTAAGACGCTTACGAATACGGATGGTTTGAGTTGGAATACGTCTAATTCTTCCCCCCCCCCCCCCCCATGGATCTCTATGAGCTGCTTCGGCAAATGAAACAGTAATATGTAAAGGAATCATGAGAGGGCAATCCCCTCTGGATCCGCCATTGCCCATATGGCACTTTCCTGTAGAGGGATCCTTCATCCCCTCCGGCAGCACCGCTACTCAGAGATGCCGTGATGTTGGGAAAGTAGCTACACTGGTTTCCAAAACTTAAGGAGCACATTGAAAATCCGTGATTGACGAACACCATGTGGATGTTGTGGATAAACTAGCTATAAATGTGTTGTTGGATGTCGCCCGGACGATCCCCGCAAACGATTGCGATCCGGAAGGCGCAATGGCGCGCCATCTCAATGGCTCTAAGACGGTTCCTTTCGGTCATTTTCAGGATTCGGCTATCTTGAAATGAACTGCTTGCCATCCAAACGTGAACTGCGCTACCAGAGCGCCGTCTTTTAGACATGTGATTTGCATATCAGCAGGTGATCTCTACCACGTTGCATGTGCTATGGCAACGTAGCATCGTTAATACTCCTAGTACGTTAATACATACTCCTGTATGTTTCGACCATTTTCATGACGGGGGTGTAGCGGAACTTGGGGAAAATCTATTTGTTCCTTAGATTTTGGAAACCGGTGTACTTAGACTCCGTCTTCAATCTCATCTTCCAACCCTGTAACGGGAGCAATGAAGTGCTAAAAAAAAAGCCCGAGTACAAAAGAAAGTTTCGATTCATTAACTTTTTTTTTTACTTCCTGAGAACCACCCTTAAAGACGAGCACACGTCCCAATTTCTCCCAGCGATGCGAGTGAGGGGACATGCCGCCTCCATGGAATTCCTTTTCACATCGGGGACGATGGATGATCACAACTACACAGCATTTACGAGGGGTGTTCAAAAGCTCCGAAACTAGTTCTGTATCTTCGGTATTCTTTGATGTACAGATGCCGATTCTGGTAAGTACTTGTGTTGGGAGTGCATAGGTGAAATGTTTAACTTCTCATTTAAGATTTTCATTTTATGGACTGTTTGACTTACCAGGTGAATATAAATGAGGTATTTCTTAAACCTCCGTAAACATTTGAAGGGTCGTCAAATTTTGCGTGGAAGTGGGCAAATTTGCCCCAGGAACCATAAAGGCATCCTTGTGGCACTAACGATTTAAAAAAAAAAAAGACCTTTAACAGGTTAGACCCGAGGTTGGGTTAATCAACATCAGCAGAGAAGTGGAATCTCACGAGAACTCCCTGAATTCCGCAAAAAGTCGAAGTTCTCGGAGAGCTCATGATTTGTCACTTTCTGAAGGATTTCTTGCCCTTTTGATCCTCTTCCCAGCCCATACTGATGGCTAATACGACCTTGGGTCGTTCGCGATGACTTTCTATTTTTTTAACTGTTTGTGCCTGTCGAATATTGCTCAGCAGCCTGAAGCATCTGTTCCAAATGCAGCATGGCCAAATTTCCCATTCCACAAAAAATGTCACGGCCCTCTGAATTTCAAAGTCGCTTTCTCACTCATTTTCACCGGGTAGGTCGAAGCGTCAATAAATCAATAAATACAGGAAAATCGAGTGAGAACCATTAAGAAATTTCGCCTGTGCACTGCAAAGACCCAAGATACTTATTCCAATTGGCATCTGTAGGTTACTGTTTTTTTTATACACTGGAGATACAGAACCAGTCTAGGAAATTTTTGAACACCTCTCGTATGTTTCATACGGAAGAGACTGGATTATAGAATATAATGTGCCCCCCCCCCTCCCCGAGAATCAAAGGCAAAGGCAGATTGTGACATGAACTGCTCTGAGCTCCTCACTCCTTAATTGAGGGGATCGATCTTTGGCTGCTCACTAATAATTTTTTTTTATTAGTGACACTTTGTTATCGTATTTCTGCTACCAATGCTGACTGCCAGACACTGCACCCCAGAATTCCTTCATGAAAAATAAAACGATGATGATAAACGAGTTCAGAAACCATTTCAGATTTGGTTCCTGGTTTGTGTCTTCCTCATCGATGAACTCCCATGAATATAAGGCACTTATGATGGGTATGAACCAACTAGAACAGTCTGTTGCAGTGCAGCACCTTATGTTCCTAGATCATTCACCATTTCTAGAGACATATTGATAAGGTAGCACTTAACAAAAAAAAACCAAAGTATTGCATTAAGTCCCACAAAAAGTTAAGAATAAATTTCCCATATTTCTATGTCTTTTCTGAAACACTTCCCTTGGTCAAAAAATGCATTCTTAATACAAAAGGCCATTCTCTTCCTCCAGTTTTTTTTTGTGGGGGACTAATCTGTCATCACCAATCCCAGATTTTCATCAAACTGGGGCTTATTCCTTGAATTCTGAACCAATTTCTACTGTGTTTCCTATGCATTTCCAGGTTTTCAAGATGGAGGAACCATGCATGGCAGGATGCCTCTCATTATCCTGACCTACACTTAAAAAACGTGTCTCAAGTTCTAATTCAGAGTATCTACTAAAGATTTTTCTTGAATTCACATCATGATTCAGAAATTGCCAAGACTGAACACACACTCTCATTGCCCTCAAGGGCTCCATTTCCAACATTTCACACAAGCATAGAGAAGAACAAGTTTTCTGTCAATGCAATATAGACTGTTTTTACTACTGTACTCTCAAGGTAGAACATGCCCTTTCCATAGAACCATGAGAAAAGAATCTTTGGTGCTCTGATCTCATCAATAACACACAACCACAAGATTAATATCCTCTAATCTACAAAAAACAACTGAACAATGCCTGAGGTCACAGCTGCTTGTTTGTCAACAAGACAACATTAGGCAATCAATATGAGTGAGGTTCTGCCAGGAAAGGGGATCTCTCACATTTAAAAACTTGAACTTGAATAACAAAGTTGTCTGATCAAGCATAAGGCCTCCTCAAAAAGTATAAATAGAAAGATTCTTAAGAAAGCCTTTAAGCAGAATGGACAGAATCAAGACGGGGAGCAGTCACCAGATAAATGCTTTACCTAGTTCATATATCTGTAATACAGCTGGCAGAAATCTTAAGATTTCTTGAGTCACAAATGAAAACTTACACAAAAAAAATCGTTTGCAAGATGTTCAAAAGCAGGACCCTGTAACAAACTATCTCTGCAATCACAATAGGGCCTATCATAACATGAGAATTGGGGTGCATGATGAGGACCTGTCCTGTGACAAGCATACCAACTAATACCTCACTTAGAAAGAATGAAAACAGCAGAACTGTTGCTACAGTTTTCTCCAAGAGTGGAAAGGCCATTATTGCATTCTGTTCTCTAGTAACAACTGTATACATAAAATGGTAACTAGATAAATGATGCCAGCTCTGAAGGAACTATAGTTGGATGTGAAACCAGGAGGAGACCAAGAAGAGAGGTCCTGATGACAAGAGTGGAATGAGATCCATATTCACTTCTTGGTCTTAGCATCAGAGGCTTGAGCTGCAGCAATCTGGGCAGCCAGATCAGCAAACTTGGCAGTGTAATCAACACTGTTCTCATTCAACATGCACTGCAATTGGTGCTCTATCTGCAGAAATAATAGAAAGGACACATTCTGATTCTTTCAATTTCCTAATGAGCACTAATATGTAAAATAAGAATAAAGGTTTTACACTAGTAATGAATGGTATGCTTGAGGGGAACAAAGAAGGGAATGGATGCTAGAACACTTACATCAGCACTCAGCCTGGAGTCCTGCTCCAAACCGCAAAGGGAAAAGGATGATGGTGCGGATGATCCCTTCACTGGAGACTCAAGATGACGGAGGAGACTGCTCAGAGAGAAATCTGTCATCTAAACGAACAGAGATTAGATTAATTAATTTCCTGCTAAGTCACATGAGATGAGGAAAATTGCCAGATGAATAATAAAAATAAAAGCCTTACTTCTGAGGCAAGCCATTCATCATGTTGGAGTCCTCTTGATGGACTTGTGGGAGGGGTCACTTGTATAAGGACAGTGTCTTCTGCAGCCATTGTGTTGGTTGGTGTATTCAAAGCTGAAGCTGGAGCTTGATTACTCTCTGCATCTCCTGCAGGGTTTAAGAGATCTACCCAAAAAAAAGGATGAATCCATATTTCATATAGTCAATACAAACCTGTACCAGGGAGACTCAATGATAGGACTTACCAGAAAAGACAGAGCTACAGTTAGAAGGCTCCAAGTTCATGTCAAATACTGGTTCTGTCGGGAGATTCAGTGTATTAGGTGAGGGAGGTGAAGAGGTTGAATCTGGTTCAACAGGTACTTCAATCTGTGAGGGTTTTGGCACTTCACTTGATGACACCACTGAGCTTTGACTGCATGAACTGATCTTTGTCACCAAGTTTGAAGCAGACCGGGAGTATGTGAGAGTGAACTTGGTCTGTAGTCCATTTCCACAAGTAGTCACAACCATCCGGCTATCTTCAGAGTTCTTTAATGTGGATGTTGCATTCAGGAGAGATGAAAGGGAGCGCCGAGCCGATTCAGGCAATGCACTTGGTTCTGATGTCTTAATTATGAGTTTCTGGCGATTTGAGGTCTGATCTTGATCAGAGTTCACTTGTACTTGATGGAACTGAAGAGGTGGAGATGTCTTTGGCCTTGTAAAGGGAGGCCTGAGATTCGTAATTGGAAGGAGTTTGGCCTCCGAGACTGATGATGAAGATGACTGGGACTGAGATGCTATCACAGATGAATTGGAATGGTCTTCAGCTGAAGGCTGCTGAAGGGGTAACACCCTCTCAACCACCATCTTGGTGTTTCTACCCCCTGCTCTCCCCTTCAGGTAGGTTGGCAACAGCTGCTTCTGCAATACCACCACATTAACCCATGTCACATCACATCATTCAAGAGTAAATTTTAAAGAAAGATATATGCATGATGTACATAAAGATAAACCTGATAGAAAATAAACTCAAAATTATTCAAATAAAAGCTGTGCAGTTTCCATACTTAGCTACACTATAGCCTAAGGAAAAAAGCTCCTTTTTTTAAAAACTTGACTGAAAAGTGATTATTTTGCTTACTCCTCTTCAATGAAAATCAACAGAAAAATTATTCCTATGAAGAACATTTCATTTATATTGCAGAAAATCTGGAAAATTTTCCAAACCCTTTTCAAAGTAGGGGATGGGCCTTAGGATGGGGAGGTAAGCAATGGTGTCAGTAACAAAACTGAGAAGAAAGGTATTTATTACTTTCAGTTATGATAAAAATTGTCACCTCTGAGCTAGTTTCCCTAATATTCCTCCTTAGACTTCTTTTTTTCCTCTCTCACAGCTAACTCACAAGAGAAAAGCTCACAGAAACTCTGACACTTCTTTTCCAATATCAATAACAAATTTAATTTAAAAGAGTACATTTATAGATTAAAATCAATAATTATGAGGTTCCAGCCTCTTATCAAGCCTTCATTACCTGTAACCAATGTATAGAAGACAAGTATTTCCTAAAGGATGATGCAATGCACTGCATAGACTAGCTTCATATGACATCCTACAACATATTCTCCACCTAAAAGATTGTAGATAGCTTCTGAGTTTTCCCAACATGTAACTGCACCTTCTGAACTACTTTCTTGTTTCCTGTGTTGCTCAAAAGAGACTGCAGGAGCACATAAGTGAAATAAATAACAAAAATTAAGGACAACATGGTGCAACCACTTCAATCCTTTAAGTTCTAAGATCAAATTTACTTCATTATAGATGCAACTGACATAAACGCTACAGTCAAGATCCAGAAGTAAAAAATTGGAGCCAATTCTAGATATGAGATGTCACTACAGATCCCTCCTTTCAGGCTTATCATGGTTCCTGCTCAAGGGAACACCATGTTTTGCCATGTATTCTTCATAACTTTTGAAATAAATGAATAATTTCCCAGTACTATCAGCACTCATCAACATGAAAAATGAAGAAACCTTCAGACTACAAGAAAGAATTAATGAGTCCAAGGCTAAGTCAGCACATGGTAAAAGGAAATCAAAATTACTTACAATTTGCTGAAATACTTGAGCATTGCTAAGCTGAATCTTGTTTTGCTGAATGCTGCGTGCATGAGGAGGAATCCCAGTGGGAACTCGAAAGAGGGTTTGAGATGCTCCAGATTGAGAAGGTAGAGAGACAGAAGCAGGGGTTTCTGAAGATGTTGAGGGAGGCAGGGAACTTGAGCAACTGGCTGCTGGGTCCCCAGATGATTCCAGAGGCACAATTCCTTCAATTTGTATCAACTGAAAAACATTGATAAACATTCTTCATTTTGTTTCTGAGCCTAAATTTGAGAAATTGCCCTTATTTTTCATCATGCAAGCTTATAATTTCACAAAAAAGGCAATGACTTTGACAACTCAAGAAAATCGATATGCTTAACATAGTAAAATTCAAGATAAGTGAATAACTTTCAATAGAATACCTTTGCACGTGTTCTACTTCTATTTGAAGTGGAAGCACCCTTGGAAGTCTTAGCACCTACAGCAGTAGTAGAACCAGCCACTGATGGGGTACCAGGAGATGATAATTCTACAGGACTTGAAGCACAAGTATGTCCACAAGAACAGGAAGGCCCAGCTACATTTCCCAGTTCTGCTCCCTACATAATTAGTGAACAATTAGAACTGCTACTAATATTCAACAGACCACTTGAAAATGAAGCAGGTGAACCATAGCAATTGACATGAAAATGCTATGATTGATAATGCAAGCTAGATGATGCGATTCCACTAGTATTACCTCACTATAGGGTCAAGTGAGGGCCAATTTCATATAAATTAGACTCAGATTTTCTCTTGCTTATTGATGAAAGTACTCATCAGGCTAATGATATATCTCTGGGTCTGTATTGTGCATGCAACATAATACATATGGATTTAAATGAGACAATGACAATTATTTTGACCTATTTTCTAAGCAATGAAAACCAAATAAAATTTGATGGGGGTCAAAAACTGCCTTAACCTGGTGTATTTGCACAATTGGGAAATTCTCATGGCTACAAACACTGCCACTAAAATGAGTCAGGATCCATGTAAACATACCAGTTCCAGATGCTACTTTGCGAAAGGATGTCTTTTTGATATATCTCTTTTCTCTCACCTTCTACCATTAATTTGCTAGGTAAGACATTCCTCTTTGCAACAAAAAATTCTACACATTTTAGGTGAGTTTAACAAATGCACATTTTAATGTCTAAGCATAAAATATCTAAATGCAAACATTTAAGTAATATAAATAGTAAATATCTACATATGCTATAAACACTTAAATTTATGTACAGTCGAACTCAGTTATAACGAAACCTTGATTATAACAAAGTCCAATGAAGGTCTCACAGACGAAATCAACAATGTTTATGTCCCTAATCTTAACTGAAATTTCCATCATCGGAAAAATTAGTGTTGGCGAGCCATAACTTTATATTTCCTGGATTCGGCATTCCTTGAGAGTCATGTGGGTGTGGCTGGAGCAATGTTAGGGAGGGATATACCCCAGTAACTAAGATCACCTTATCTTCAGCTGCCATTTGCATTTCTTGTCGTCAATGTGGCCAATGGAAAACGAAAGAGGCAAGCCTTCACGATTGAAAGGAAAGTGTGCTTGATTAGTTTAATAGAAAGAGCTAGAAGTGAAGCTAACGTCGCTCGCGAACATGGACATCTGTTCATCTGTTTCCACAATTTGGGAAAATTGTGACAGCTTCATCTGTGCTTACGAGAACATGTCACAAAAACATGAAACTTCCTAGGTCTGTTGAGATGACATCGACGAAGCCTTGCTAAAATATAAAGTAGTTCAAGGTCCAAAGAAGTATGAACATCATGATTAGTGGGTCAATCTTGAAACTGAAGCTAGTGTAGTATGACCAATGTAAACTAGAGTTGTAATGTTATATATGATCAATTTTGAAAACAGGAAAACGGAGTGCCAATAAAGGCAACCTTGGTTATAATGACGGTTTTTACCTGGTCCCTTCGATGACGTTATAACCGAGTTCAACAGTATCAAATTTCTGAAAGAGTGATTAAAATGTAAGTTTTAAGATAAGGATTCCAAATCTCCAAGTAAGTTTTTTTTCCCAATTGTTTCTATGAGCAGCAGTTAAAATATGGTTTTACTTAAATATTTTGGGGTAAATTTGAAACTTTTCCAAATTCAAGGATATTTAGAGCTTCTCTCAAGGTTCAGGGATGCTGAGGCTTGCATAGGTATTTGTGAGATTATGAAGTTTTTGGATCATAATAGATACTTTCATGGAAGCTTGAAAATAATTTTCTATGCAATGCACTGACATATCTTCATGTTTTTCTGCATAGCTTCAGACAGAACTGCCTCTCAGTATATCAGTGATTATACCAAACACCATGTATTCATTTTTGTTGCCCAGTAACCTTAGATGCAGATTGGGGAGCCTAGCATGAGGAAAATTAGGAAGTTCTGCCAAAAATATTGAGAAACTGTAGCTGCATAAAAAATGAAAATAAATTTTGTCTTAATTTCTCAAGTTTCTCATGGGTGTCTCATAGTAGGGTGGGAAAATAGTGATAATACCATACACGAGGGTAAATTCTGATGGCATCAAAATCCACAGGAGATAGACATGTTTGAAGAAACTCAATTGAATACTACTTAATTGTTACTCTGGACTCTCCATGTTCCATGCCATGCAAGTAACATGACTGTCTTCCTACTGGGGATCAAGAAAAGGAGGCGATATCACATAAACCCTATTGTCACAAGGACATTGGTAGAGGCACCAACTACCACTCCTAATCACCATCCCAAGGTTAGTACAAGCAGGCACCACAAGCATAATCTGTAGCAATGATATGTAATGAAGACATCACCAATTCTGTAATAGCTACATTTGAACCAAGTTCATTCAAGCCATTCCATTTTTAAATCTAGAGCTGTTTTGAAATTCCAGCACATGACCAGAAGATGGCAATTTTAAGCCAATATGTGAACATTAGTTGTTTGTAGGTGGTCCACAGTGAGAAAGATAGACAAGTGATGATGATCCAATAGAATTTCAGTCATGGTAGACAATGATACAAGCATAAATATTCCAGGGAGACCACTGTGAAAAGACAATCCAAAGTGTGACAACTAATCAGAGGATAATCATGAGCAGAAGAAATGTCAATTATCATGGTGGACTTTAATTTGAGGCAAATTTGACAATGATTCCAGATAGGAACATGAGATTAGCCAACCTTTGTCCTGTTAGGTGGAGTGGTGAATAGAAGCCCTTTTGGAGTTCCATCATAACCATGTCTACTGGGTGTGCTGACTGTATTGTTGCGCATTTGCAGAAGGCAAAGAAGTTTATGAAGAATGTTGGTGACCAGCACCACATGGCCCTCTTCTTCATCCTTACTTAGCTCTTCAACTGGAATTTTATTCACTTCCTCCTCCTTTCTCTTCATTTTACCTCTCTCCCCTTCCCACTCATAGTCCAACCTCAAGACTGAAGGCTTTCCAAGCTGGAAGGAGTCAATAAAAATACTCCATGAGACTCCACAGAAGAGAAGACAAAATGTACCACTCCCAGAAAATAACTACAATACACATGGAAATAATGGAAACCTGTACAATGACCCAGTTTTTTGAGAAGTAAAACTGTGATGAGGTTATGAGAGTGAGAAAATTTGTCATACTTAATGAAGAAAGGTAACATAAAATCATCTATTTTGCAAATGGCAATAAAGTCAGAAAAGCCAAATTATCTGCTTTCTCTGGTTTGTTTGATAGGATGAAGGTGGAATGGAATTTCCTATCTCAGAGACATTGTCTTTTTCTTTTCTAGCAATGAATATGATCTTTCCTAGAACTTAAGAGTCAGGAAGTAATTACAATTTCTTACAATGAGCCATAGGCAAAATGATCAAATGTATAGTCTTCTTGATAACTGTTCATGAAACACACAATTACTTCCTGGCTTACCATGAGGAAGAGCTCTCCAACTGTGAGAAGACCAGCAGAACTCTCTGTCCAGCCTTCTCTCATAGATGCCACAAGTTTTTTTGCCTCTGGATCCTTCTCATTGGAACTTTGAGATGATTCTCCATCCTTAGCATCTCGGTTCCCCAACTTTTCCTTTAATGTCCCAGCAAGTAAAAGCTTTCCATCTCGTGCTTCAGCTACTTGCATGGTAACTTTCTCTTCAACAGTGACTTGTGCAGCTCTTCTTCCCCATTCACAGAGGAGTGCTTCACCTGGATCTTCAGTAGGACATGATGCCATTTTATCAAGATCCCGCAACTGCTGGAGAGCAACCTCATGAATGTTTTCAACAGTCCTGGTATCACCTGATGGTCCAACATCACCCATTTCACCATCACTCTGTGATGTCACTCCCCTTTCATCCTCACTCACATCTCCTTCTCGACCAATATCATCTTCACTATGTATTTCATATTCTGGCTGCTTCAATTCTCCATTTTTGACTGAATTTACTTTATTTTTGCCTCGCTTTGGTCCAAAAGTCCGCTCCTTTGCAAGAACATCCACTTTTCCTTGCAATGCCCTCTCATACAAGCTGTCCAAACTGAGGGTCTCACTAGTAATACCTGCAGATGTGGGTCGGTCACGAAGACGCCCCAGGGAGGAGTGTAATGTATGTAGCACTTCTTTTGCACTCGGTGAAATGAATTTGATATCACAGTTCTTTGGAGGGAACAACCGGAGATCCTCTGCACTTCTTCTTGGTAGAGGGGTCTCACAGTCATTTTCCCCAACTGTCTCTGAGACCTTTTCCAACTGCAGTGCCCACATAATCAAGGAAGCACCATAAAGTGAATAAAGAAAAACAGGCATATGTAACATCCATTCTATACATATGCCCATATTTCTCAAAACAATAAATTACAAATTATGTGTTATTTTGAACATAGCAATGACAAGGAATTTTCTTATAAGAAAATCCAAACACAATGGAAACAATGGTTAGATAAATGAAGCAATATGTCCAGACAAAGGAGTCTGGATTCCCAGGCTGTACTAAAATTCTGCAGACACAAGTATATTATGTCTGGAATAACAGACTTTCTGGATTTATGGTCTTAAGCTATTGTATAATTATGATTTCATATAAAATATTTGAAAGGATACAAGTTTGACTTGTGATGGCTTCCACTTGTGCTTCAAACATTGAATCAGTGATGAGATGCGACACTGGAGAGGGACTGTGATGCACACACGAGGATTTTGGGCAGAACTCTGAACATAAATCCAAGAAAAGTTGGAAAGAGGTTGTAGCTCCAAAGCCACAGTTGCAGGGAGCTTTTCATCCTCCTTTGGTTCTGAAATGAAACCAAAGAACGTTGCTTACATCTCCTCTTCATGTTTAATATTTTCCAATTCATCCAAATCAGTAACTAAGACACACAAATGGAAAGGTTGAAATCACAATAATATAATATATAGGGTGTCCCAAAATGAATACACCAAAAAGAAAGTTGAATAAATTTCTTATTATTTGAGATTGTAACAAAATTCAAAACCAAATGTATTCTGAAGGCTTGTAAGTTGGAAAATGTGTTTTCAGAATTTGAACACAGAATTTGATTGATAATAGTAAATGATGGAAGACATGTACACACTTAATAACTGAATTAAATAAAACTTACAAGCCTTCAGAAGATATTTTGTTTTGAATTTTGTTGCTATTGAGATAGCAACAAAATAATAAGAAAGTTATTCAACTTTCTTTCTGGTATATTCATTTTGGGACACAATGTATAAGTATATATACCTTCAACATTATTGATCTTTTTGAGGGCTTTGCAAACAGGAGTTTTGATGCGGATGTTCCGACCACGAAGACGAGATGTTGTACTCCCTTTATAAACAAGGCGATTCAACAGTGCACCAGTTTTCTCATCCAGTTGACCTCCCACTCGGCGTCGGAACTCTCCATAATTTATCAGCCCATACAGTTCAACAATGGCCTTCTTGATATCTGAAAGAAAATGTCATTCATATTACCCCATTACAAAAATTAATAAATGCACTATCATCCTCTAAAAGGAAGGTGTATAAAAGGTACTGGTACCTGTAGATGGATGAAGATATTTAGATATCTTGTGCCATGTTCTATAATAGAAATGTCGAACTTGTTCCTTATTTTTTGCAAGTCCTCGCTTCTTGACTTTGGCGGCTAGGTGATTCTGAATAGAATCAAAGTCCTTGCCATACTCATTCAGAGCCTCAAAGAATGTATTTTTGTCTTCCAATGACCAAGACTCCCAAGGTCTCTTCTGTTTCTTTCTACCATCTTGATTAGAAGTAGGAGGCATTTTCTCTGTCTCTTTCACACCTGGAGGCATAGAAAGGGATATATATAATCTGCCACACTACACTACTTCAAAAATGATACAATTCTTAGACTAAGGGAAATAAGTCATACCTACTGACCTGCATACAATGAGACAATTTATGGAAATGGCAGCTAGCTGCAGAAGTCACTAACACGAGGGAGGATTCTTTACAGTTTTTTCTTACAGGACAAGCATACACACAAGATAAAAAAAAAAAACCTTATTTCAATTTGGTACACAGAGAGGAAGGGGTGCCTGCTTGGTTCAGAAACCACGTTCATCATAAAAGAACTTCAAGTAGGGATGCCACTCAATAGTCCTGCAGGGGGCCTTCAGAGAAGTGCACACAGGAGAAAATGTTCACATGATAATTTGTATGCAAGATTTTTTCCTGAGAAAACCAGCATCTGCATATGCTAACCTTTGAAGGCAATTATGATTAGCTTCAGCCATGAGTGGCACAAGTGATTTTAATACTAAACACATCAGACATTCTCCAGAAAGCAGTGGATTGCCTATTGGTGAAAAAAAGCCTTCTGCTTCCAGAACCATGATTCCTGCCGCCAATAATGAATTGTCAGGACCAGCCAATCAACCCAATCATACAACAGGGTGATTCAGAAATACCATACCAGTTCATTATGAAATGACTGAACTTTATACATATTTTCTCAACATCATTTGGATATGACATGATTCATAAGCCATAAAAGATTAAAAGTCTAAATGTACAATAAGCTAACCTCCTGTGGGGTCTTCCTTCTTGACTTCTGTGGACAAGCTCACATTGTCCAATTGCTTTATCCGCTTTGGAATCCTCAAGCTGCATCTCAGAGGAACAACAGGAGTGGCAACCACCAGAGACTGTCCCAAAGTAACTGTGGCTTCATCCACAGATTGGTTCTCTCTGCTACCCTCACCATCCAGATCCAAGTCGATGGGTTCCTCTTTCTTCTCCACTGGCTCTCCATCATCATCATCATCAAGGCTACCATTTAAGCTATAATAAAAGATTCTGCAATCAGACCCATGCAAGACGTAAGCCTACCATGTCCCTAACTCTGAATTCTAAAATTCTGAATTTCTCACGACTAGCCACTGTTATAACTTTTTTTAGGCTTTAGTAACACCTGAAACTGGCAAGGAATGCAATATTAGGGGTCGAAGGGCCAAAAAGGTGAACAGAAGAACGTATCAGTGTGGCTATGCTATAGTGCTTCTTCCCATAAAAAGGATTCAAAAAAAGGTCCGAGTTAACCTTAGGCCTTACGCTAAGGACAGACGATCCTACAACTTCGAAAAACAAAGGCCGAGACTGAATGCAGGTCAAGTCGAAGTCTTTGTCTCACCCGTCAAGGTGCCCATCTTGATCGGCGGTACACGAAGAACTAGCATTCCGTTTTCTCTTCCCCATGATGAGCACTGAGTTACACATAGTTAGGCCTACATATTTAAAAGGGACTTCAGCGAAGAAGCAACGCCACTCCCTCAGAAATTCACGACACGATTAGGAACGACGGCGATGAGCATCTCCATGTTTACATGACGTTTGCTGGTCACCAATCCGAGAGAAGATTTGGGTCACGTGACTCTTCTTCTTCACCGCCACTTTTCTCTTGCAAATTTGCTGTAATCAAGATAGCAACAGTTAATGTCGGAGGACTACTTCAAGCAAATGTCGATATACTATTTCAAAATATTTTTATCTGGAATTCCTTAAATAAATCACTTAAGCCCATTTTGGATATAGTATGTAGTGCAAATTAATGTATTAATTTCCAAATGTAATTTGTCATTGTACAGGGTGCCCAGTAGAAAACCAAAGGATTGCAATTAGCACGCCTTTAACAACAAAATGATGTTTTCTATCGACAAGTATACATCTATATTGATGCTGCTTGATTGCGATTTGTTGCTTTCATAAACGAAATCCCAGGGATGTCCCTAACTGGACAGCTTGTCTCCTGGTCTTCATAGGATATCCTGAGGACATCTTCTTTCTGACAGTTTCGGACATCTTGTAAGGGATGTCTTTGGGATATCTAAGAGACGTCTTTTAGACATCTTAGAGATATCCCTTTCAGGATATCTTTAAGACATCCTTAGTTGAATGCTTCTGGATATCATGGAGGGGATATTTTGAAGACATCTTCAGTCAAACGCTTTTCGATATCTTGAGGAGGATGTCTTAGGGACATCTCTCTGTCGCCTTCAGTCAGGTTCATAGCTTCGCCAGTAGATGTCTCCCGTGAGCCTTGATCTGCAACCTCAGATCTTTTCTATCAATTTCATCTTCTTGATTTGTCCAGAGGACAAGTAAGGATTTTCGTACTGTACATCAGGAAAACTCCCACCAGGGAAAGTGAAAAAACTGCAGTCCAAATTTTAATTTATTCCACTATATTCTATCTAATGATGAGTGATTGGCATGTCTGGATGTCTTTAGGCATCTTCTGTGCCCTTTGTCGCCTTCAGTCAGGTGCATACCTTCGACGGTAGATGTCCCCCTTGGGCCCTGATCTCCAACCTCAGATATTTAAAAATCAAATTTATCTACTTGATTAGTCCTGAGGATAAGTAAGGATTTTCATGCCGTACATCAGGAAAACTGCCTCTAGGGAAAGTGAAAAAATTACTGTCCGAATTTCAATTTACTCCATTATATTCTCATTAATGATGCTTGATCGGCATGTCTGGATACAACTATCTTGGTTGGCGACCTGAGCCCATGCATTTTAAATAGGTGTGAGGCCTAAAGATCTCGTCCATGACTTCTCGCGTAAAATTGCTATATTTCATCCCTTGGAGATGTGTATCTTTGAGGAACAAAATTTCTCTCCCTCTTAACCGTTACTTTTCACTTGGTCAAGAACTTATGATTAGGTCATAGAAGATCAATTAGAGACATCTTCGAAAGTAGTGGCTTGTCCTGTGTGGTAGGAAATGAGTCCGTTACAGAAAGGAGGGCACCCGCAAGTACTACCTGGGATTTATCACTTGTACCAAGAGGATATCTCAGGGACATCTTTGGGATATACTTGTGTTGTGTGGGTACTTGGTAGTTTCTCTCCTCAGGCGCCATAAAGCCTGTTTTTTTTTATTACTGCGTTCTCGGCATCGTTTTCTTTACATTGCAGTGTCTTTAAGCCTAAGCTGAGAAGGGAAAGCCTGATTATAATTATGTATTTTAGATGGGATTGGTCTGAGTCATGAATCGTGAATTGTCGTATGTGCAGTCTTTTCCAAAGTAACACAAGAACGTTCAAGAAAACGTTCAACATGTGTTGAGGAAAAAGGAAAATAAGGAAAAAATAATGGGAAGGTTTCACTCTCAATCAGTCCGAAAGAGACTCAGCAGCATGAAAGTCCCGGCAAGGGAAAAGGAATGTTCATTGCAAGCAGGCTGAACCATAAAATAGGACTTTTATTTTCATTTCACGTCCTTGATGAACGTTCTGGGAACAAATAACTTGAACCCGATTGAAATATCAAAATTCCGGGCATTTGAACAGTCAATAGGCGTCTTCAAGGGCGTTCATTGCACGTTGGTTGAACCATAAATAGGACGTTCATTAAACATTCATTGAACGTTCCGGTGCTACTTGGGTCCCCTCTCCCGTCCTTCTTTTAAGAAACATTTTTATTGCAGTGGTGATTTCTTATTACCGGTGGTGGCTGGTGATATTTAGCGCTAGTGGTTCATCTATGGAGAGGGGAGACCCTTCCTCCCTTCCACCGTTTACATTTGTCTGTCAATACTATATAGCGCGCCGTATGAAGGGGAGGGGTTGCTAGGGAAAGGACTGAAGGGGCTGTGTTTGTTGCTATGCAACTCCTGTCATGGATCAGTTCGCCACTCCCGAGTCCGCACGCATCCCACGCTCTTTGCCCTACCTTACAATAAAACAAGGAATGGAAGAGGCTTTAAGAACTACAACTCCACTTCCCCCCAAATGACATGCATGCAGCGACATGATGACACTGCAACACACAGAAACACTGCAGTTAGGATGTAGCCATAAAAAAAAACAACGAAAGCAAACTAAAAACAACTAAAAAAAATTTTGAGCGTTGAATGAGACATCTATAGAGCACAGGAGAAAAATTGCTATAACTTAATGGGCGAGGTTGAATTTTTTTCTGAAGTTGGGCTACTGTTGCTCTTTATCCAAGCAACAAGAGGGTCTTAAATTTTTCCGGCAAGTAATTGACATTTTGAGTACTTTGCGATATAAAAACGTTAAAAACTTTTAGAATCTCTACTGTAGGCCAAAATAAGCGTCCAAATCATTTGTGCCACCCAATACAGTGGGAGCACGCGACAACACTTGCATCAAGTCAGATTTCAGTGTTTTATTACTTTCATACTGTTTCATTTTGGCACTTTTGACTCCATGTTATATTTTCGAGACTTGACAAAATATTTTATTCTGATCGTATTTGATACTGTATCCTTGTAACTATTTAACTATTTTCAATTTGACTTTTTTCTATGATATCCAAGTTGACTCCAATCCTGGCATTAAGCAAACACACAAGGAAATGACTCCTAAAATCGTGAAAACAACGTTTTCGCGCAATTTCTTTGCCTTCCTCCGTGCAACTGGGTCGTGGGGATGAAAAACACATGAAACACATCTCATGAACTGCGCATACTTGAGCTAACCACGATTTGCTTTCAAAAATGTAATCATCAGAACTCATTCATTCAATTTAAAGAAGAGAAAAAAAAAAAACAATTCAACGGTCTTTGTGTCTCGAGTCATGTTTCACCTTGATCTTTTCACATCGCTTCAGCCAGGATTATTAGAACTGCATTCACACTAACCCAATTCTCACTTCGCCACAGACTTCGTTGTTTCTTTTTCAAGTTGCTCGGGGAGTGCGGCAACACAGTCGTTCGCAATTCACCATTCCCAAATCCCCGTCCTGTTCGACTTTTCGTGTTATCGAAATTCGAAGATTGGTTCCATCTGACAAAGCCATTCAGTTGACATCAGAAAGCAATTCAGTTTTCGCATGCACATACCCTTCTGGGCTTGCATTATGACCGAATTCGAATTTTCACAACTGGGTTCTTGATGAGAATGTGATTTTTTTTTAATCAGCCGATTTCATGTTTTTCTCTTTTCCCTCAAACCCTGAGCAACCAATCTACGAAAGTCAATTTCCCCCAATTCGTTGTTTACTTCTTTGTTCCCTCTTTCGTTCGCACACATTTTAATGCAAACCTTCTCGTTCATCTTAACCACTTTCCAGGTTGTTTTGCAATGAATTGAACCAAAAATGTCAATTTTTAACTAGTAGATTTTGATTCTATGGACTTTGAACAAAATATGTATTTGTAACATATTTTATCCATTTACTCAGGCAAATCAAGAACAAAACAACGAAACACGAGTCGCCCGTGTCTCATGCAGACAAGTTTTGGGAAGGACAACGTCGTCCGCATCAGAGACGTGCAAATCACGGAAGCGGTTAACCATGACAGACTTTTGGCAGCACCAGAATTGCACATGGTAATTATGGCATCTACGAGAAACAATAGCACACCAGCACTAGCGAGCATTCCTGATGACGTCACGAAGTGACATGGTTCCAGATCCGCTTTCCATTCCATGAGTCATTTTTGCAACTGCCATGTGCTGCTCTCCTTCACCTCTCGACAAGGTGGACGCTGATGTAGCTTCATCTAATCCTACTTTATCTGATATCTGAGACGCTCCCGGAAGTCTTGGAACGAGTTTTCCTTTTCCCAATGGCAAAAACACTGGTTTCTTAGGGAGATGAGGATGATCCAAGTTGGGGTTTCGCGTTTCCCCACACGATGCTTCGGGCCTGGTTATGTGAGAATGTGAAAAAGTGCGAAAGATCCAATTCAGATCTAATCTAAAGACCCCTTTAGATCCAATTGAGAACGATGAAGTAACAATGCTTTATGTTATTTCTTTCGCATTTCGGCAGTTGTATCTGCTACCTTTACGAAGCGACACCTAGCCTTACCAATAGAAAACGTATCTCCCAGGGTTGCTACCCTCCGTCGCAGCCGGAAGAGCTCGTGTCTCAAGCCAGGTGCAAAATGAGAATGTGGATATGAGCGAAGTTACCTTCCGGAATAAGAATTCATATCTTCCCTCTCCTATCAAGCGGAGAAAGCCTATTCGTACAGAGGAGAGAGACGAGACGGGCACTCGTGTCCGACTCTTTCGTATCGATCACGTCCTGTGTTTCTAGGTCGCAGGACGAGTTTCAAATCTCCAGGATCTTGTTCGTGAGAAAAGCGATGAAAATCGTCTGGAGGTCATTGCATCCAAGTCTGTGCAAAAAAAATAAGCTTGAAATTATGGGGATATAAATATGCGTTATGCAGAAATATGCAAATAAAAAGAGAAAATAATGTATTCGTATGAAAAAAAATGCTCCTTTGCCTTCCCAATTTCTAAGCTAATTTTTAAAATGATTAAAATATTAAATTAATTAAAACTTGAAGGGAGGAAGTAATCCTTGTTATTTACCTCAGAAACTATCCGCAAGTC